TTTGGTTTTTTGAGACAGGGTTTCTCTGTGGCTTTGGAGCCTGTCCTGGAACTAGCTCTTGTAGACCAGGCTGGTCTCGAACTCCCAGAGATCCGCCTGCCTCTGCCTCCCGAGTGCTGGGATTAAAGGCGTGCGCCACCACCGCCCGGCTGTAACTGAGGCTTTTAATAAAGGAGATCAAAAGGTTTTGTGGGGAGTACTCAAGAGGGACTGCAGGGGATTGCTAGGGAAGTAAGAAGTTTCTAGAAAAGCTATTAATGTCATGGACAGACAGGCAACAGTATGACAGGGGTCTCAAGGAGACGTCAGGCTCTAGCATCAGAGAAGGACAACATGGCAGGGTCTCTGGAGAGAGGCACCAGAACCCATGTGAGAGAGGTCGTGTCTCATTTTTATATCTGAAGATGGACTAAGTTTCATAGCATATGCCTGTAGGCGGATTCTCTGATTCCCAGCCAGGAGAGGACTAGGGAGCAGGAAGTGTCACCAAGTAACTAATTTCCCAGGTGAGAGCTCCTGGCCCCAGAGTGACTTGTAGCTGGGAACTCACAGACAGTGTCTCAGTAGGGTGCCTGTCTGGATCTTTGAGAGGAGATTGCTACAGATAGTGACCTGAGCAGAGGCTGGATTCTAGCATGACATTCTACAGAAACTTCCTGAGTTTGGTGAAAGGGGGGAAGCTCGACTCTGAATCTTTAAAATGTGAGGCTGTAGGGTTACAAGGTGGTATGCCTAGCAGGTAGTTGGAGGTAAAGGAGAGTGAGAGGCAAGATGAGATCTTGTCGTGGTGAAATGGGTTGGAGCCTAGTGTATGGGGAGAAGGATTTATCCTGTGATGAGAGGCTGGAGCCTCCTTTGGGACCAGAGTACGGAGGGTAGATATTCTGACAGATCTGTCCGATGCTGGAAAGGACAAACAAAATTCCTCTGTGCTAGCTGAAAGAGAAGAAGCAGGGAAGGTGCCGTAGCAGTAAGGACCAAGGACCATCAGTGAGGTTGAAGAAGAGCAACCACTGGGCACAGGACTTGCCAGGGGTGGGGGTGGGGTAAACACTGTGCCCCAGGATTTCATTCCCCCAGCAAGCTAAGCCAAGGGCAGTGGGTTTGCAGCAGCTGCTATGCAAGTGTGTGGAATAAGGAGTGAACCAGGAGAAGGTGTCAAAATGACTGTGTCAGTGATGTGCCTGCTGGGGCTCAGGCTGTGGGAACGTGAAACCAAGTGGTCCTTGCTGTGCTGGGAAGGAAGGAAGTAGTTTAATTGACCACTGCCTTCCCCCTCTACAAGCACAGCCTTGGCTCATAAACATGCCTCATAAATGCTGTCTGACTTAAAGTAGTGAGCACAGAACTGCTTTTGTAGGGACCAGTGGTGGGTGGTCAGTGGTCGTGCTGGGATCTTGGATGGAATGGGCAGTATTTTTCTATCTGTTTTGGACATGGAGAAGTTGAGTGGTATGTCAGAATGCACACTGCATTTCAGAGTTAACAGAAATATGGCAGGAGACAAAGTGAGCCAGCAGTCAGAACCTCTGTAGAGTCCAGTGTGTTAGCATGTGGATGACAGGAGACATGCCACTGGGAGTGAGCTTTGGAGTAGAGGGTGATTCTAGAGAGGCCCTTACAGCCTTAGACCCATACTGACCCCAGGACATTAGGAAGAAGAGGAGGATGCCTGAAGGGAAAGTCACGTTGAGGGGGAGCGCGAGGGAGATGGCTGTGCAGAGGTTGAGAGTAGGAAAGACTGTCCAAAATCCTGAGCTTTCTCACATGGGGAACAAAAGGAATGCAGCGGTGTTGACAGCACAGGAGGTTTGCGTGAGAATCCCTGGGGTGGGAGGAAGCTGGTGGTTTCTGAGAAGTGCGGCTTGGCAATGGGAGAGGCCTCTGAGGCTTCTGGGTCTTCAGTTAGCAAAGGGCCCTGAGCCACTGTCACAGTGTGTTGTGTTGTCAACACAGTTGCTCCTCATGTTGAATGATCCTTATTTTCTAAAAATTGAAGCTTGGGAAAAGTTGCTTATCTGTGTAGGTCACATGACTTCGTGATTCTAGAGCCATTCTAATTTCCTTCGTGCACCTTCCCTGGCTGTATGGTTCTATTCAGAGATAACTTTGGCACAACTGTGCAGTTATCCTGATGCTTTATTGTTGGAAAGCCCGAGGGTACCTTAGGGATAGCTCTCTCGCACCCCTTGGTGGCAGTCATGGTGTTGTGGTGACACCATGGTAACAGTAAATCTCTGGCTGTATCATTGCTGTCAGGAAGGCTGCTAGAGTTTTATGGGAAAAGGTGGTCCTGGTCTAGATACCAAATAGGCCTCGGATTGAATTTTATCTGGTTGAAAATTCCTAGTATGGTTTTATTTTTATTATTTTTATTTAATTTTTGAGAAAGGGTCTCACTTTGTAGCTCTGGTTGGCCTGGAACTCACCATGTAGGCCAAGGTGGCTTCGAATTCACTGAGCCACCTTCCTCTGCCTGCCGAGTGCTGGGATTGGAGACCTGCTCTTTGGAATTGTTTGCACCTGTGAATAGCTTATGTCCTGCTTAATTATGAGCTCATTAATGAAGGCCTTTCTGTTGTTACAGGTCCAATGTTTTTCTCTCTCTTCACAGGTTGAATATAAGCTGGGATTCCAAGTAGACAATTTTGTGGCTATGGGCATGCCCCAGGTCAATATCTCTGCTCAAGGGGAAGTGCCACGCACTTTATCAGGTGAGCCAGCAAAGACAGACTTAGCACACTGCTTTCAGCTGTCTCCCTCACATCCCTACAAGGACAGTTTACTGGATGCCTGGCTTTGAAAAGTACTTTAATGAATTCTGTTATATCTTTGTAGAGCTGTCTTTACTTAGCTCATCCTTGGCTCCTTTTCTGTGTTTCTGGCATCTGCATCTGAGTCCCTGCCTCTGCCCTTTACTCCCACCTGCTACCATTGACTTGAGTGGTCATTGTCCATTTGCATCTGACCACAGGGCATCAGGACCTCTAGTGTCTCCTGCTCCAGTCAGCTGGCTCATTGCAGACTTCTCAACTTTTGCCTGTGTCCATTACCAACTGCCCTGGCCACTGCCCATGTTCCAGCACCCCAAGAGTCCAGTCTGTGTTCAGTTCTCATACCCAGGCCTTTGCACATGCTCCAGCATATTCAAACATTCCAGTCAGGCCTTTGTACGTGCTGGCCTCAATTTGGAACCTTCTTTCCCTTTTTTCTGCTTGTGAGTTCCCATCTATCCAGTGAATAAGATGGAAAGTCTACACCATCCCCTTCCTGTCCCACCTCCAATTGTTAACTCCTCTGTGCTTCCTGCCTATACCAACTTGGCATGTAACTGTTAATAAACTTATTACAGTATCTGGTGATTCCTTGCCCAGCAGCTGGGCATGCAATAGGCGCTCAGTATGTGTCTGAATAAGTGGACTGAATGTTTTATTTCCACCACCCTCACAGTTTGTAAACAGACCCTTTGAGTTTTCTGTTGTGGTAAACACCACTTGGGGAGGAAAGGGTTTATTTTAAACTTTCTAGAGTCCATTCTCAAGGGAAGTCAAGGCAGGAACTCAAATCAGGAACTGAAGCAGAGATCTTGGAGGAGTGTTATTTGCTCTCCATGGCTTTCTCAGTTTGCTTCCTTATACAACCCAGGACCACCTGCCCATGGCTGGCACTTCCTACAGTGGGCTAGGCCTTCTCATATCAATCATTAATTAAGAGAATGCCCCACAGATGTGCCTGGCCAGTCTGATGGGGCAGTTCCCTTCGTTGGAGATTCCAATCTCAGATGATTCTAGTTTATGTCAAGCTAATAAAACCTAAGCAACACAGAAAGACTCTAGGACATGGAGATTTTAAAATGTATCATCACCACCACTGTTTTAAAGAACAAAGAAGTAGAGCTTTCCTGGCAGTTTTATTCCCTTATTAAGTTCACTTATCTATTCACTCATTCTTAGTGGCACATGCTCGTTTAGGCTTTAAGGCAGTGCTGGAAGGCTGGTTAATTTTTGTTGGTCAGCAAGGATGTTCAGAAATGCCTAAATCTCTGATCCACTCATATAGATAGTGAAATAATTTCTCAATTTATAGGAAAGAAATCATAAACTAAAAGATAAGAAAAAAGTTACTAAAATCTACTTTTTCATCGTTAGCATCGCTAGAAAACTTTTTAAAGTTAATCCTATTTAGAAGGGCAGTGTTGTTTTTAATTCCTAGCTAAGAATTTGTCAGTTTCATTTATAGATTTATTGTAATTTATATAGATTTATTGTAATTTACCCCAGTAACAATGTTTTTATTTTTTAAGGGGTACTTATGAGTAATTTCTCTTTTGGATAAGATAATTTTTAAATGTGATCCCTAAATATACATACACATTTTCCACAGAGAGTACTTCCAAACATGCTCTTACTATGTCTCTGTTTGTCATGATGGTGTGTTAATGTTTGTATTTGCTCATCTGTATGTCATAGCTCTAAGTCCAACAGGAACTCTCCTGCCACCCAGTTCAGTGTGGCTTTGGTTTCCCCCCACCTTGTTAGCTAGACAGCAGGAAAGGATGCCCCTGCTCTAGGAATATGGTGATGACGTGTTTTATTTTGTGCATCTCATGTCTGCCCCGCAGACAGCAGCACATATGCTGCCTTCCTGACATTTACATCCTTCCAAGGCCTGGAGCGATATATTACTGCATTTGGTACTGCATAGTCGTTACTTACCGTGTAATTTTGTTACTGTTGCTTGTGAGACTAGTAAGGTCAGCAGGGTTTGCTTCAGTATATTGGAAAGCAGAATACATACAACAAACTAGCATGTTCAAAATCTCAAGAAGGCTTGACTGTCATCCCTTCATCTCTGTTTTGTTTCCTCTTCAGCACTCTTCTGTATCTACAATGAGAGGAATATAAATGGCCAGAACTGAGGTGATGCAGTCTCCGAAAGCTTCTGTCTGGTCCACTTATTTAAATGTGTTTGTTTGTTTTATTTGAGAGCAGAAATAAATGAAAACGTTTGAATGGTACTGTTGGGGCATTGATCCTGATTTTTAGGACACTGAAGTATTTTCTCTTTCTTCTTTTAAACAGTGTTTCGGGTCGAGCTTTCCTGTACCGGCAAAGTAGACTCTGAAGTCATGATACTAATGCAGCTCAACCTGACAGTACATCCTTCCAAAAACTTCACAGTCTTAAATTTTAAACGAAGGAAAATGTGCTACAAAAGTAAGGATTGTATTTAACAACACGTGTTTCATGTAAATAAGAGGTCCATAGAAGATGGTGGTGCTTGTTTACAGACTAATTATGACCAAGTCTTTATTGTAGTTGTGAGAAAAGGAAAGCACACAAGTTGATGAGATCCTGGGGTAACCCCAGGTAGTATGTAGCCAGAATCTCAACCTCACTCAGCCTCTGGTTCTCTGCCTGTAGAATTGCCTGAATGTTTCCATTAGATGTGTGAAGTGGATCCTGTATGACTGACGGGTAAAGAAGGAAAATAAACTCCATAGGGGCCACAGCAGCTGTGACTAAGCATTTGCTTGATGAACTTGGCTTCTGCAGGAGCTTCACTTTAGGGGGTCATGTGGGCCCGGTTGGGATCATATCTCTGCTCTTCTCAGGAAGGGGGATAAGTTATTATACCTTGTGAGGCTTAGGTCCTCATCTGTAAAATATTCATGATGCTGTTTCAGAGAGGGTTTAAAGGGTAATTCAATCTAGCCTAGAATTAGGATGTCATGTGTGGGTACTTAATAATTATTACCTCTTTGGGTCACCACAGATCAGTGAGTTCTAGCACACCAAGGCTGAGTTTTGAGATGTTAAGAATTCTTAAAGGTTATCTAATCTCCATGTAGCCCAGAGGTAAAGTTTCTGAATTTACAAATACGTCAAACTGTTTACTGTTTAAGGTAGAAACAAACCAAACCATAAACTCACTCAGTGCTCTCTGTGGTCTGTAAGTGTTACCCGCACTAAACCACATATCCTTACATCAGCTCCAGGTGGTGTGTTTTCAGAAGATCTGAGTAACCTGGCCAGGCTCAGACAAAGTGCTGCAGCTAAGGGGCAAATCCGGGTTCTTGACTTCTTTGTGAAACTGTGTTTACAAATTTGCCAATTAAAATTAGTGCTGGGTGTTATTCAAACGTGCAGGGTCAAAAAGCGAGTTACGGTGGCAAATGTCAAGACACATACCAACAAAGAAGCTATATTGCATTGAATAGAGACATTTTTAAAAAAAAAATAGCACCCTTAGCTTTGGTGCAGTTCTAGTTCTCTGAGTTATATAACTACTTTGATGTAAGTTTAAAGCCTATGGGGATTATAGAGGTTTTACTCCAACCTTATCGTTAAGTGATTGGCATGAGGACACCAGGCCTTGAAGAGGCTACCTGGACTTGTATAACTAGTCAAGATGGAGGATGGATGGATGGATGGATGGATGGATGGATGGATGGATGGATACTAGGGCTGAATTCGGTGTGCTAGGAGAGTGCTTTGCCACTGAGCTGTATTCCAATTCTATCTTAGCATATTTGTTTGAGACAGGATCTTGCTAAGTTATCCATTCTGGCCTTGAACTCACTACCTAATCCAGTCAAGCCTAGAACTTGTGATCCCCCTTGGTAACAGAGATTAAGGCATGCACTACCATGCCTGACTTTTGAAAACTTCTATTTTAGATTTACTATATACCTAACCTTCTTAATGTGTGGTCGTAATTTGTCCACAACTGCATTAGCAAGCACCCCTGTGCTTTGTGGAATGCTAAGAGCTATTATTCCCTGCAAGTTTCTTTATCTTTAGGTGAGAATTAGGGATCAGGAAGCTTTCCTTCTCTAGAATTCTAGAGTCTTTCCACTGAGCTGGTTGTGCCGTGAGTTTCCGTGAAGACGGTAAGTGTGTGGGTTTCTCTACATTCTTCACCACAGAAACCTATCTCACTGGGAAGCTGTAAGTGACCAGCACAGGCTGTTTCTCTACTGGTGATGGCTCTGATGACCATAGAAGGACAGTAGTTTTCATCGTCTCACAGCGAATACCTCGTGTTCAGAGGATGTGTTAGTGTGTAAGGATTCTTATGGAAAGCCATTTCTGAAGATGTGTTAGTGTGTAAGGATTCTTATGGAAAGCCATTTCTGAAGTACCTTTTATTTCCTTTTTAATCCAGAACTTGAAGAAGTAAAAACTTCAGCCTTGGACAGAAACACTAGCAGAACTATTTGTAAGTGTTATTGTGTTACCTTTCTCCATCATGAGAGTGAAGAGTGCATGTGAGTGTGTGAGCACGTGAGTGTGCTTGCATGGAGCTTGATGCCTGCTCCAGTGTTGATGTTAGTTTGCTCTTTATTCTGCTGGGGTTCTGTGGATTGATTTGTAGCCCAATTGAAGCTGTCAGGATATTGAGGATTTTGAGAATTGAAACTCATACATCTTTTACAGCACTGACAAACTAACAGATGCCTTTCAGGAGCAAGACTTTATATTGTGATTTTTCTCAGGTAGGCCTAATAAAGGAACAAATATTAAAAAAAAAATGTGTAATACCTTCATTAGCACAGTGTTAGAGAATCTGACTCGTAGTTTGGACCCAGCCTTCAGCTAATTTAATCTAGGTGAAAATGCAAATTTATGTTATTTAATTTATTTTTTATTTTGAGAGAGGAAGGTGACTTAGTTGGTAAAGTGCTTGCTACGCAAGCATGAAGACTTGTTCCGATTCCAGCACCCATGTAAAAGCCGGGTGCTGCGGTATACTCCTGTAACATAGCACTGTGTGGCGTGGGAAGGTGGGAGGTGGAAGAGGGACAGCGACAGTCAGATCTTCAGAGCTCGCTGGCCAGCTAGTGAGTTCCAGGTTCTGCAAGAGGTCCTGTCTCCAAAAGTAAGGTAGGAAATGATAGAGGAAGATACTGAAGGTCAGATTCTGGTCTCTATACATGTGCACACATATAAATACCTGCATATAACATACAAACACACACCGAGAGAGAGAGAGAGAGAGAGAGAGAGAGAGAGAGAGAGAGAGAGAGAGAGAGACAGATACAACACATACTTTGGGCGGAATGGGACAGGCAGACCAACACATACTAGTTCAGACTGCTCTGGAGCTCTGTGTTGTTGAGAGCTCATTGCCTCCTGAGTTTTTGATTCTCATTTCTCTATCTCTGCAGTGCTAGGAATTAAGTAGAGCTTTTTAAAAGGCAAAATAATGTCAGAGATTATGTACTTGCTAGACTATTTATCTCTGAGAAGGAAGAAAAGAAAAAATTTAAATGCCACTGCCTCCCGAGTTTACTTAAATTCTGGTGCTTTTTTTTTTTTTTTTTAATGCTTTTAGGGTATTTCTTAGTAAGATCAATGTAGTAGTGTTGGCCTCCCTCTCTTCCTTGCTCTTTTCCTTCCACCTTTTACCCCTCTATTCAACATTTATTGAGTCTACAATGACCAGGATGATATATATGACTGAGGCAGAAGCAAATGAGCAAACAGCCTAGCTGTTAGGTGCTTAGAGTGTTCCAGGGGAGATGGAACAGGCATTAGGTGGTGATGGCAGCCCAGCATGGTAGGCTGAGAGATCCAGAGAGTACAAGGGACTTTGGAAACCCTGAGGAGGGGCATTTAATCTCCTCTAAAGGATAGAGACAGCAGCTGTCTAAGGAAAGTGCCTGAGACCTGCAGGACAGCTGGGTTCTGACAGCTGAACTTCAGTGAGGAGGAGGAGCAGCTTCGCCTGCCGGAAGCTGAGTGGCTGGACAGAGTGCACGTGGACAGCCTGCCCAGGAGCTCTGGACACTGCTTGAGTCACATTGTCCACGTAGGCCTTAGCTCTTTTCTACCCCTCCCAAGACTTTGCTACTCTCCCTTGGCATGCCGAAACCCTCAGGAGTCCTGTCTTCACCTAGGCACAGCTAGCCATCCCACTTGATTGCCTGAATTGACCTTTTGGATTTTTTTCTCAAAGTTTAATTGTTTGGTTGCTGGTTTTGCTGTAGGAATGCTGGATTATAAGTGCACGCTGCTGCACCTGGCCTTGATGTGGGTCCCACATTTAGATGGCCAGGCTTGTGCAGCAAGTTGTTTACCCACTGAGCTGGTTCCACTACCCAGTGCTTGTCTGTTTTTTTGTTTGACATCTTCACTTGGTAATTTCAAACTTAACTTATATACAAGGAAAAAAATATCCAAGAGTTATTTCTCAAGCTTCTCCAACCTGTTTCTTTTATAGCTTCTTAAAGGTAGCATCAATGGGTTCTTAAGCCACAGCTTTGCTGCCTTTTGCTTTGAGCCCTGTAAGTTTGTGACTCTGCTTCACTCTACTCGCTTGGTGCCTTCACCAGCTCTCCCAGCAAAGCCTAGGTAGCCTCTCTATCAGAGGGCCTAGTAACGTTCTCATTCATTCCAGCTCTGCTCTTGCTTCCTCTGCAGCTGGGTCACACAGCATGCAGTCGTCAGGCCACTGCGTGTGTCTCTGCTTTGCTTGATACCTTGTAGTGACTTCCGGTCTCGTTTGGAATAAACTCGATTCCTTGGGTACTTTAAGATGGGGTCGATGTGAAACACGTGCAGCTCTGCCTCAGCATTCTGCTCATAATATGTATACTTCTGTGTCTATGAGCCCCTTCACAGTTTGCCTTCTGCTGTTCTCTGATCAGCCTGGGAGGGACGGAGGGAGGGAGGGAGAGAGGGAGGGAGGGAGGAAGGGAGGGAGGGAGGGAGGGAGAGTGTGTGCTGTGTTTGTGGTATAATCTTTTATGCATTGAATTAATTTTTGTATTCCTGAAGTGTTTCTTTTCTTAAAATAACATTAGCCAGGTATAATCATATTTAATCAATAGAACCTTTTAAAAAAATCAAAGAAGCAAAATAATATTTATTGATTAAAAAAAAAAATCTGTGCTGTTTGCCCAGCTGGGTGACTATTAGCCCCATGTAGTCTCAAAGTTGTAAATTCATTAGCATGGTATAAAATTGCTCTAGTTGTTTTTCATGCCACATAGCCAAGGTGGCCAGTGGCAACTGTGCTAGATGGAATATTCCATTTCTGTTTCTGTGAATATGCGGTGGAACTTTGCTTTCCTGCAGAGCATTCTGTGGGACAACTCTGCCGATGTCTTAGGACTGGGGCATTTTATGCCCCCTTTGAGGGTCTATGGTTTTTATTAATCAGAAATTTTAAATCTTTTCTTAAAACTGTAACAAAGACACCAAAATTTGCGTGAGCCCCACACTGCGAGTTTCTGATTTTTATCAAAGAATGAGTGTGATGAAATGTGGGTTTTTGTGAGGAATGGCGAGTACTCACTGTGTTAGGACAGAGCACGCCTTCAGCTTTGTTTAAAAAGCCTAATGTGCTTTTCATTTTTGTTTCAGATGATCCTGTACATGCAGCTCCAACTACTTCCACGCGTGTGTTTTATATCAGTGTAGGAGTTTGTTGTGCAGTAATATTTCTTGTAGCAATAATATTAGCCGTTTTGCACCTTCATAGTATGAAAAGGATTGAACTGGATGACAGGTATTGTACATGTTTTGGGAAAAGAAAAAATAAAATCAGTTGCTTGTCATGTGCATGAGTGCCCCCCAACCCCCATCCAGACACACCAGTGCAGGGGAGAAGGGAGGATGATCAAGCCCCAGCAAAGAGGAAATAAGATGCCTTGGTTACCCTCTTTATGTTTTCCTGCTTTTATTTTTATCTTTTAAATTCTGTGGAGTTATAACGTAGGGAGAAGTAGTGGTCAAATATGTTTTTCATCTCCATTATCCTGACTTGCCTCCAGGCTCCAATTGCCTTTTTGAAACTGTTCCTTTCCTTCCTTCCTTCTGGATTCTTCCAACCCCCTCTCTCTACCCCTCCCTCCCCCCACCTGCCTTCCCTCCCCACTTGGGTATCTGCTGTGCTCTAAAGTTTTCTGGATGATCCTAATGCATAGCAAAGTAGAGATACCCTGGATAGATAATCACACTAAGTGCTGGGATTACCAAAGATTAATGATACACTTCGTGGTATCAAGGTTCTTTGATGTCAACTCATAATTACAGTATAGAATTGATTATTGTGATATGTATAATGTAGTGTGGGAATACAGAAGGTGCCTGCCTAACCTGGGTGAGTCAGAGATGACGCTGTAGCCACAACGCAATGAGAAGTAAAGATGGAATGGTAGATGCGTGCTCACAACCCACAATCCTTAGTGCCTCCTACACACCAACTAAGACATTCTCAGCATTGTATTTGACTTTGAACCCTTGCTACCACCCTTGCTGAATCCTTAGTTGCACCTTGTCAGGTGATTCCTTTCCCCTCACTGTGTGCCTTGCACCTTGCCCTTCAGAGCTTTTGTTCATACTGGGGCCATGGGTACTTTCTGCCAGTCTAAACCCATAATTCATACTCCAGATTTCCTATAACAACACTGTAAGCTTTTTCCAGGCAGAGAGCAGTGTCTCCTCTCCCTAAACTCAGAGTCCTAACTCTGTATGGTAGACCTGTAAAAGGTATAAAGGGAAACATTCCTTTATAAACAAGATCCGGAAAGGCCAGGGAGCCGGATGGATGCAGTACTCCTAAGTACTTTGTCTTCGTTGTGTTCCTTCCCTTCCTTGGGAAGAGAAAGAAGAGAAGTGATGGAGCGCAGTGGTACACATGCAGGGCTCTGGTTGGGTTTTCTGTAGCCATGGTAACACACTCTGACCAAAACCAAGTTAGAGGAGAAGTAGGTCCTCTAGTTGGCTTTTCTGTTGCAGTGGTAACACACACTGATCAAAAACAAGTTAGAGGAAAAGCAGGTGCTCTGGTTGGATTTTTTGTTGCCATGGTAAATACTCTGGCTAAAACCAAGTTAGAGGAGAAAAGGCTTCATTTCATTTTACACTTTCAGGTCACAGTCTGTCACTAAGGGAAATCAAGGCAGGAACCTGGGGCAGAAACTATGGGGAACGGATGCTAACTGCCTGGCTTTCTCACTCCTGTCCAGTTAACTTCCTTGTACATCTCAGGCCCACCTGCCTGGGTTGATGCTCACAGTAGGCTGGACCCACTCGTATCAGTGGTTAATTTCCTCATCAACATAGCCACAGGCTCGTCTGATTGAGCAGTCCTCAACTGAGACTCCTTCATATGACTCTAGACTGTCTCAAGTTGACAGCTAGCTAGGATAGCAGATGCTATGTTTCAGAATGTTTGGTATACATTGTGATAATGGAGTTCATTGTTTTAACAGAGGATGAACTGACATTTGGAAGCAGTTGAGGGGATAAAAGCGTTATGTATATGATTTTGTATATGATTTGAGAGATGGTGTAAGCCACAGGAGTCACTGAAGAGCAGGGTGGATAGTCAGAAGTCACACTTAGGTGTGTCTTTTGTTTATTTGTTGTGTGTTTTTGAGGCAATGTCTCATGAACCCGGGCTGGTCTTGGTCTTGGACTCTTGATCCTCCTGCCTCCACTTCCTAACAGGCACATACTGTTAGACCCAATTAACAGATCTCTTCTGATGCCCATAGAGTTGTGTTTTTCTTGATTGCTGATATGTGTTTTAAGGTCATGAATTCACACAGGCTGAAATTGTTCTGTAACTTAGATTCCACGAAATGTTTGTGTCTTCCTGCTAAGTAAGTAGTCTCCACACAAGTAGGAGCTTCAAACTCTCTAGGTTTCTAGATATTGTCTGAATAAAAGCAATTTATATTATTGCTACTAAGGGCATAGCTTAGTAGTTAAGAGCTAGCCTCTGGGGCCCGATTGTCTGTATCTGTGTCCAGCTCTTCTGTGATTAGTCTTCTAGCCTCCTCACCTGTAAAGCAAAGATTGTGGGGTTTAGAGAAATGATGCTAGAGGGGTAGTAGGTCTCAGCCCCAAATGCAGCAAGTGCCGCCATGGTGATTTCATTCTCAGAAAGGTGTGGTGTGCTAATCGTGGCTCCTCCTAGCACTGCCTACACGCCAGGCAAGCTAATGGTGGTGCCCAGGTTCCTATGCAGCTCTCTGACAGCACTGAAGAGACACCTGCTGCTCCTCTCTGCAGAGTCCTCTTGCTGACTGTGTAATCAAGACCCAGAAACAGACTTAAAGACGGTGACTTCTGGGGTTGTACCATTATGACCTGTGCAAAGCAGGAAGTCTGCATTCTGATCATTTCTGTATTGTAGTTACATAACATGCTTGCTGCATGCCAGGCTCTGTTCCCTGGTAGGCTAGCGGGCACCTGTACTGCAGTGAACTCTTGGGGCAGTAGATAGCTCATTCATTGTGAGCACGCAGGAGCCAGTGACCTGTTACATATAGAGTTTCTTTACAGGCGGAGAATGTAGCTACCCTGAGGTGTGTTCTCATCAGGGACCCATGGAGCCCATACATGTGACTTTCCGTCTCCTAACCCAGCAAACTGATCTGCAGTCTGTTACACCAGGGGAATCTGTCCTGAAGGGGCAGAGTGTCTGTCTCCCCCAGAGAGATGAGCCTGCAGCTGTCTTCTTTGTGGCCTCCCTGTCAGAGATTGAGAAATCAGTTCTTTGCATATGCGATGCTTGGATGTGTTATTTGGCGGTATTTTCATTTTCCTATTTTCCATTTTTTTCCAGCATCCCACTGCCTTCATCCTTACCAGTGGCAAAGTGTGTCTGTTTTTCCTGTATTCGTTTTTACCTTAATGCTTTAACAGACTGGCATACATAGTAATAGACAGAGTACTAGAGTTTCTTTTGTTTTCTTCTTCTTTGAGATAGGGTTTCTCTATGTATCCACTGCAGCCAGCTTAGAGTTCCTATTGCTGTGATAGAACACCATGACCAAAAGAATTTGGAGAGGAAAGGGTTTATTTCAGTTAGTAACTCGCAGATCACACTCAATCCCAGACCGACATCCAGGCAGGAACTGATATAGAATCCATGGAGGAAGGAGGATACTTACTGGCTTGCCCAGCCTGCTTTCTTAGACACCTTGGGTCCACCAGTTCAGGAATGGAACCACCCACAGTGAGCTGGGCCCGCCCACAGGGGTCATTAATCAGGTAAATGCCTTACAGGCTTGCCTCAGGCCAGTCTGATGGAGCATTTTCTCAATTGACTTCCCTCTTCTGAAACAACTCTATCTTGACAAAAACTGTCCAGGACACCCATTTGAATGAAGAATGAAGAGAAGCGGGAAAGTCAATCTATACTGAGTAATTCCTTTTTCATCAAGTGTCAGCCGCTCGTGTCAGAAGCAAACGTTCTGCCTGGGTTATGTCTTCCCACTCGGTGAATGTGGCGTCTCCGTCAGCATCAGCGAGTGGTTAACTCACTGTGATTTGGGCTCACATGGGGGTCAGGGGCTTACTGTGCTAGGCACTGGTGGTGTTGGAGAGGGCAGAGTGAACGGGCACTTAACTGTCCCCATGGAGTTTATGGTCTGCCTCAATGAGGCCTCCACCAAGAAGTCCCAGCTGTAAATCGGGTGGGAAACTACTTCGTGTTCACTGCTGTGTCCTCAGCAGCCAGAGCAGCACCCGTCACCTCATAGACACTTGATAAACATTTATTGAGTCAATGACTCACTAAGAATAGAGTAAGAATTTAGTATTTTGAAGATCTCTGTCCAAATTCTTAGCTTATTCTAAACCAGGATGCCTACTTGCTTATAAAAATCAGATTTATTTAGAATAGTCTTAAACTATTAAATGTTAGCAAATACACATTTTAATCTGTTTACTACCTCTTGTGATGTAGCTTTGAAGGCGTGGGCTTTACTGGATGTTGGGGCAGGCCTCCGACTATACCTTGCTTTTCTTATAATAGTAAGTTTTTGATTCCAAAAAATGTTTCTCTCTCCACTATTGCTTTGCTCATTCCTTTCTTGGGCATTTCACCCTAATATCTTAAGGAAATGAAAGTCTGACATAGATGGCCCTAAGGCTGCGTGACCACTCACAATCTTGAACATTTTTAGATGACCCAGGAGTGCCACCTAGTGTCCAGTTGTTGAAGTTTATTCAGCCGTAGGTACCATTGCTTGCAGGACATTTTGTTGAGCTTTCACATCCATCATAAATTTGAGCCTCACAGAAATCCTGTGAGGAAGGTTTTCTCGCTCCACTTCTGAGGAGAAATTCCTCATCTGCTTCGCCCTTGAGATGCAGCCCTTCCCCTGCTGTACCAAATACTGAACTTCTAACAAATTAGCCTTCAGTGGGATCCTTGAAGTGCTCAGCAAAAGCATGTACCCTGTAGGTCCTTATGATTCTAAGGTTGGGGACGTGATGCACAGTATTCCTCAGGGTAAAATAGTGATGGTTTATAAGTGTGTGTTTGAGGGCTGAGCAGCGTCCTCAGGGCTGTACCCGCACATCCTCCATGGAACCCCGTTAGCAGTCTTGTTGGGAGTCGCTTTATGTTCCTTCTGTCCCCAGAGAGTGTGAGGCTCCAGAAGGATGGAATAGTTTGCCTAAGCTGTGCAGCTGGTGGTGCTGGCAATTATGATTTAAAGGTTTATGTTTTTCATTTGCTTATGACCAACTACATATGTAAACTCACCTAAATCACTACTTAATAACTTCCAGAACTCCAACCACATGATGTCCTGACAAATCTTTGTTAGATTCTCTGGGTTGAAAGTCCCCTCAGCAAAGTTGCTTGGAAACAAAGCTGGCTGCAGGCTCACAGGAAGATAGGAATCTGAAATGTGAGCATGTCCAGGGACAGCGTGCTGAGGGCATCCCGTTAGACACAGGCATTTCAGACGGAGGATGTGCTCAGCAAGATGGCTGTGTATACAGATGCTTTCCAAATATTTGTCAGAGGACACCCCTATCTCACTTTAACCACAATATAATAATTCAAAATTATATTAGCTCTAACAGACTACATAGAGCTTACAGCACTCATTGTGTGGATATTTTATGTCTTTATGGTTTTCACATGTGTGTGACTCTTGAAATTGACAAAATACAAGTACATGTGTAAGTGTTCTAGATCATATGGCAGTTGATCACGAGTTTCATTGCAATCACTAGGTTTTGAGAATGCAGTGATAAGGCACAAAGAGCAGTCAGTCCAAACTTTGTTCATACGTAGGAAATTTGTTGGCTTTACTGCCTCTGTAGTTACAGGGGTTCTGTCTATGCTGAGTCTCTCTGGTTTACTTCCCCTCGGCTACCAACTTAAAATAAGGCAGTAAGGTCAGGATGTACCCAGGGGTGACCAGGGACAAGATCACCCACAGAAAAGGTTTGGGAGCCATTGATTTATAGTAATTGCAGATATCTAACTAACAAGATTTGCACCCACTGCCTCAGGGTCTCCTTTTACTTGGGTATGGTTTCAAGTACTAGAGATATGAGAACTGTGAATTCCAAGGAAGTGGGGTGAGGGGAGGTGAAGAGGGGAAACGAGTCAGACATGATGCTGCTTCCTACGCTTGCACATGGCACACTGATGTAGACCGTGACCACTTCCTCTCAAATCCATATGATTTGGGCCACTTCTTAAAGGAACTTGTTTCTCTTTTCTGAAAGCCAGTCCAGCTGAATGGTATGGGCTCTTCTCTAGAGAGGTGAGCCAATAGTTCCTTGACATACCCTGTGTGAGGTTCAGAACTGCTCTCTGAGGACTTCCACCTACATTTCTGAACAGTTTTGCTATGATGACATGCTTGGTCATTTTGAAGGTACAAATAAAAGACTAAATTGAACCATGTATAGTGAAGTAGCTTAGGAGTTCAGAATGAAATACTGATAGGGATGAATGCATTTATCTACGAGAATTCTAGGCAGGTTGTAAAGTAACATGTATTTTATACGTATGCAAAAGAAATTTCTTACTGAGATTCACTTGCCAAATTTTTCTCTCTAAAATTATTTGCAGCATCAGCGCCAGCAGTAGTTCCCAAGGGCTGTCTCAGCCATCCACGCAGACGACTCAGTATCTGAGAGCTGACACACCCAACAATGCAACTCCCATCACCAGTAAGAGTTAATTTAATTCTACAGCTGTTTTCAAATCTCGTATGGTCTCTGTCAGTGGCCCTAATATAGTTAGTGTATTTGTGGAATTATCTAACTTGTTCTAAAGTTGGTTTGATCTTCAAGTTTCGTTTCTTAGAACATTGAATAAAACATTTTAAAATTGGAGTATTTAATATAAATATTGTTAGAGCTAATTCTGCTTTGGAATGATATTAAAAGAGCTTTTTAATGATATTAAAAGAGCTAATAAATCAATTCTCTACAAATCCAAACTGAAGGTTTTTAGGTAGTTTTAGGGAATGAGTTAATATTTCCATGGAACACATAGGAACTTGCAATTGGTTTTATTCACCTGCTCTTGGAGATTGAGCCCAGAGTCTCCAGCATGCTGACCATATTCCGTGTCACGGAGCAGTCCACCAGTCCTTTATGCTGTTTTCAAATCTTAATACAAGCTAGTTACCATTGGTTATGTACATGGAATTTTAAGTCCCCCCCCCCCCCACTGTGCTAGGATCAAACCCAAGGGCCCTCACACATGCCACAGTGCTTTATCACTGAGTGACATCCCTAGCTTCTTTTTTTTAAAACAGTCCTGATTCTAACCAAGCTGCTATTTCTTTCTTTTTTAATATTTATTTATTTATTATGTATACAATATTCTGTCTGTGTGCGTGTCTGCAGGCCAGAAGAGGGCACCAGACCTCTTTACAGATGGCTGTGAGCCACCATGTGGTTGCCGGGAATTGAACTCAGGACCTTTGGAAGATCAGACAATGCCCTTAACCACTGAGCCATCTCTCCAGCCCCCCTAGATTCTTAATTTTTTTAAACGTGTGTGTGTGTGTGTGTGTATGTGTGTGTGTATGCATGTGTGCACACGTCCACACAAATGCTGGTGAAAACTACTTGATTTGGGTTCTGGGAATTGAACTTGGGTCCTGTGGAAGAGTATTGAGTGCTCTTAGCTACTGAGCCATCTCCTGAGCCTTAATTTCCTTCTTTTTAAAAAAAGATTCTTTCAAAGAGTTATTTGTTTTTGTGAATCAAAGTGCTCAGTCTGCATGTACAACTTTATGCCAGAAGAGGGCATCAGATCCCACTATATAGATGGTTGTGAGCCATCATGTGATTGCTAGGAATTGAACTAAGGACCTTTGAGAGAACAACTAGTGCTCTTAACTGCTGAGCCATTTCCCCAGGCCCCCTTAATTTCCTTCTTATTAACAGAATTTTTATGAATGTTGCCTAACTGGTTTTTAGCTCAGGCTAGCCTGGAACTCTAGCACATAGCTTTGATTGACCTTATAGCGGCCAACATTCCTGGTCCATTTTTATTTTCATGCACGTCAGTGTTATGTATTTGGGAGTATTTTTATTTTATTTTATTTTATTTTAATTTTGGGGGAGGTATCAAGATAAAATAAGGTTTCTCTGTGTAGCCCTGACTATCCTGGAACTTGCTCTGTAAACCAGGCTGGCCTCAAACTCAGAGATCTGCTTGCCTCCCAAGTCCTGGGATTAAAGACATGCACCATCACCACCCAGCTAAAGCAATTCTTTTTTTAAAAATAATTAATTGACAGATTTATTATATACAGTGTGATATGAAATATGCATGTAATAATAGTCTTTGATTTACAGTCCTTAACAAAATACTTTGATTTATGAAAGATTGATGAAAACCCTAAGAACAAAGGAAAATGGAGGCTTTACCATTAGCTAGCCCAAATCCTCTTCAAATCCACTGATAAAACTTAGCTGTAGAAAAAATGCTGCAAACAGATGTTTTGTACCTGTGGATATGATATTCCAACCCAAAATAATTAGCCTGAATTTAATAAAGGCTGTAGTTATTATGTAATAAAGGAGCAGAGGAAGAAGATAAATGATACACCAAGGAGCAGAGAGGCCAGTTCTGCATAGTTTATTTCTTTCACTGTGTCAAGAAAGAGGGGATGACAAGAAACTTAAGAGAAATCATTGCAGCACCTACTGTCACTCTCTAGAAAGAAAGAAATAAAAAGAGCCCTTCATGAAAATGCCATGGTAGATATGAATGTCATACCTGCACAGAAAGACACGCCATTGGTTTTAATGTTTACACACCAGGTTTTGCTGATTAGGGCTTGTTCTTGCCTGCACATATGACTTTATCAATAGATACTTCAGTTACTATATATGATAAATTTTTTAAGAAAGACAATAAAAGTATATTTACATCTTAAAAATTTATCATTAATATGAAATTTTTAATTTTTGTTTTGAATTGTGAACATTACCATAAAGAACCAGATAATTCATTATTAATAGATGATGAAAACAAAACACTTAAAACTTTTTAACCTTTACTTTTATTTTATATGTATGAGTGTTTTGCCTGTATGTGTATATGTGATCATGGGCGTAAAGTGCCTGCAGAGATCAAAAGAGGACATTGGATCTCCTGGGACCAGTTTCTGCCATGTAGGTGCTGGGAATTTAACCTCTTCCTCTCCAGCCATCATAAAACACTGTTTAAAAAGCTCAGTAGATGAAAGAAAAAAGAAAAAAAAGCAAAAAAGAAGGAAATTCTTAGAGAGAAAAAAAAGCCCAATAGAAATACATTTGTTTTATAACTAAAAAAGGAAGGCCAGACATGGTGGTGCACATTTTAAATCCTAGCACTCAGGAGGCAGAGGCAGGTGTATCTCTGTAAAGTTGAGGCCATCCAGCTCTACATAGTTCCACACCAGCCAGGAATACCAGCTCTACATAGTGAGATCCTCACTATTTTCAAAAGAAAATAGTAGCTAATAACAAAAAAGGAATGGGGCATAGTGGTTCATACCCCTATATTTGGGAAGCTGAGGCAGATGATGAGTTCTAGTGAGACCTTGTCTCCAAAAGAAAAGAAAAGAGGGCAGGAAAAAAAAAACCCCAAAACTTCAGATATATTGGCCAAGAATTTTTCAAGGCAACAGAATAGAACATAGCAGAGATCCAAGACACTCAGAGAACTTCAGGTAGAATTAAACATGTGAAAATGGCTTATCACTGCGTCAGGCTTTGCCAGACTACAACTGTTAGGAAATTTTTTAGTGCCTTCATATAGTCCTTTGGCAGCCACTGATGCTCATCACGCTCCATCCATCAGCTATTTATTTATTTATTTTAAAGATTTATTTATTTATTATGTATACAACATTCCTTCCATGTATGTTTACATGCCAGAAGAGGGCAACAGATCTCATTATAGATGGCTGTGAGCCACCATGTGGTTGCTGGGAATTGAACTCAGGACCTCTGGAAGAGCAGTCAGTGCTCTTAACCTCTGAGCTATCTCTCCAGCTCCCCATTTATTTTTTTTAATAATTAAGATGTCATCGCATGGTTTCCTCCTTTCCCGTCCTCTAGCCTTGCCCATCCCTCCTCCTTGCGTTCTTTTTGCTATCTATCAAAGGTAGTAAGTCATTAGAAATGCCATTTCAGTTTCTGTTTGTCCATAGTGGTTCTTCCTTTTATCCTAATTATTTTCTTGTCATGAGAACTTTAGTTTATGGCTGTAAATTCTGTTTTTGTTGTCATTGTATTGAGAATGGGTGGAAATTAAATGAACTTAAATTTGAACCCCAGGCTAGGCTGTGGGAGTACAAACGCAAGTGATCGAATTGATGATGTATGTTATTAAATAATGCCTTTTCAGATATCTCTTCCTTTGAGAAGATCTTTTGTTACATGATTATATTGAAAATCATTTGGAAGGAAAACTACATAAGAGGGATTAAAGTCTGTAAATCAGAGGATGTCGTTTGTCTTAAAGGCATTCAAGTAGTCATTATGTTTTTAGCTTTTCTTTCTTTCACTTTATTTAGACATTTGGGGGTAGTATTGTGGTGGGTGGCAATGTTTTCCTTAATATTTTTTAATTTATTTTTATTTCGTGTGCTTTGATTTTTTTTTTCTTCTTGCATGTATGTCTGTGTGAGGGTGTCTGATCCCTTGGACCTGGAGTTAAAAAGTTGTAAGCTGCCTTGTGGGGATTGAGCCTGGGTCCTCTGGAAGAACAGACAATTCTCTTAACTACTGAGCTATCTCTCCAGTTCCTTTTTGTTTTTTAAACATCTTATGTGTCCTTCATAAGTAGCTTTCCTGGTTTGTGTGTACATTGTTTGCTTTTATGTTGTTGCATTATTCATTGCTGTGCCCTCAGTCCTGAGATCATAAATAACCAGCTGACTCCAGGGCCACAGTAGGGTATTTATATTGCTTGGTCTGGCTTTGTTGGCTCCTCAGGTTATCCTACCTTGAGGATAGAGAAGAACGACTTGCGGAGTGTCACCCTTTTGGAGGCCAAAGCCAAGGTGAAGGATATAGCAATATCCAGGGAACGGATAACACTGAAAGATGTACTTCAAGAAGGTACTTATTTTCTCTAAATTTTCAGATTTGAAGATTTCATTATCCTTTTCTTTAGACTTCACTCGGTTCGCCCTAACAGCTTTGATGAGCATCTTAATTTTGAAGTGTGATAAAACACAGACTAGCATTTGTTATCTACAGGTGTTTGTTTTATTATTTATTCTTTTTTAAAGTGATCAGTTCCCAGCAGGTGTATTTGAAATATTTGGTTCAATTTTTTTACTCTCATGGGTTGTGGGTGATCAAGTGGATGGATGGGCTTTGGGGTTAGACTCCGATTCCAGCCCCTGTGTGACCATAAAGGAACCACACAGCATCTTAGAGTTATCAGTCCCCATGTAGTACCTCAGACCACACCCTAATGGACTGGCACCCAGAAAATTATTGGCTGAATGAGTTTCCACAACAGTAGAATTAACAACAAAGTGGCCTTGATCACTCAGACTAGCTGAGAGCTGATATGAAAGGACGCACGTGAAAGAGTTAACAGAGTTTGTATTTGACATCCAGTACTCTTCCACCTCATCTTGCAGGTCCTTGCTTTCTGTTTTGAGTTTTAGGGTCTTGATTAAGGAGATGGTGAAAGAGGAGGACAAAAATTAACAATAAAGTAACTGCCCTGAACTATTAATGTTGTTAGGTGGCAGATAACTTGTTTCCTCTGCCGCCGTTTGCTGTGGAATGTTTTTGGTCATATGAATCCATTCTGTTTGCTGGACCCCTGAAGCTAGCCTCAGCTAAGTCCCTTAAAGGAAATGGCCCTCAGTGGAAGCAGGTGTCACCCCTCCCTTTCCAGTGTGTGAGTGCTGCTGCTGCAGCTGTCCATTTTCTAAGAATAACTGGCTTTCAGAGCTGTCTGCAGTCTGAAGAGCACTTCCTACAGAATTAGTGGTTTTCTTTACAGTTTTCTGGGACCCCAAACAGAATGGAGCAAGGTTACTTGCTCATAATTTGAGGAAATTTGGAATCAGGTGTTTTTCTTGATGTTTTTGGAACCGTAATTTTTTTTTTTTATTAGAACTTTTGCTTTCAGGAAAGAAAACATGGCTGGCTAAAATTTTGTAAATTGGTCAGGTTCACTGCAACTCTGATAAATACAAACCAAACAATAGTTTATGGGCCACTTTTCATCTGTCAGATTAGACATAATTAAAGAGATGTCTAGATAATCCAGACAGTGTATGAGGGAATAAACTGTTATGCACCATGACCTGTAGTCAAGTGATCTGTGTGCACATGTGCTTTTAGTATGGGTTCACCCGGTTAGTTATAGGGACTGGGTATGGGGAAGAGGAAACAGCTGGTCTGTACCACTGTGTACCACGGAGGAGCTCCTTTGACAGTGCAGAGGCATGAAGTTTCTCCAATGCCTTCCTGCCTCCAGCATCCACGTTCCTCCGTCTCTGTGCCTCAGTGGGACCTTCCACACGGGCACCAGTAACTTGAGCACATACATAATGTGACAGACATTAAAGCCCAGGGTGTGTTTAATGTCCACAACAATGTAAAGTATTTCAGGCATTTCTTTAAAATTACGGAAGGATGAACATAAAAACCGTCTTATGTGAAAGAATAACATGCAATTAATTTTTCATCTCATTAGAAAGCCTTTTGAATCCAGGACAGCCAGGGCTATGCAGAGAGACACTGACTCACAACCTCTCCCCAAAAAAGGAAACAAGAAAAAAAAGAGGATTAAAATAAAAATATTTTACTAATAAATCTGTGCAGTTAAGAAAAACATTCTCATATACTTAGTTTAGATATGGGATTTCTCAAAGCAAGTTGCTTTGTAGACCCAAATGGCTTTTAGCTGCTTTGGTCCAGTTTACACTGGAGCGAGAATAAGGACTGCCATATCCATCATGTTGGGTGACATTGGCAGAAAGCTTTGTGATGTGAGGACAGATGATCACATGGCCTCGTTAACTGTTATTTTTTCTTTTAGGTACTTTTGGGCGTATTTTCCATGGGATTTTAGTAGATGAAAAAGATCCAAATAAAGAAAAGCAAACATTTGTAAAAACAGTTAAAGGTAGGGTTTTCTTACTTGCTGTTTTCATAATAGTTTGCGTGTAGATGACTCAGTCTAGTAAAGCTTTGTCTCTGTCTCTGTGTGACCTTTGGAATTAGTGTAACTCAGAGGCTCACTTTTGAGGATTAAGTTTTTCTCCTCAGGTATAGAAAATTGTTTTCTAACTTACTAAACATTAGATATGATTTTAACTGTAGTTAAATTGCATGTTCTTAACTTGACTGTTGCTGTATCTAATTTTGGGTTTGTCCTGTAAAACTTTCTCATACCATCCTTTATCCCACCTAAGAAAATATTGCCATTATTTTTCAATACAGACATTACAAAGAAAACAGTTAAATGTCCTCAGATCCCCAGTACCTTAGATATATGCAGTTTATCTTTCATTTCCTCTCCATCTTGTTCTGTTATATGCAGTATAGTATCCTAGGGAATGCCTGCCTGACACAATCCCTGCCCCCATTGCCACTCCCTAACCCCACCCCTGTGGGTGAGCAAGTGTACCAGGGGTCAACTTTAGGTTTCTTTAATCAAGTGCTATACACCTTGGTTTTCTCGCTTTGTTTCTTTTCTAAATATTTTATTTTATGTATATGAGTATTTTGCCTGCGTGTATGTGTTTTTACCATACCCCAGACCCCAAGGAGTATGTTGGATCCCCTGGGACAGATGGTGTGAGCCACCATGCGGCTGCCAGAACTTTTTGTCTCTCTAGCCCAGTCCACCTTGTTTTGGGGACAGGTGTCTCTCTGTGACCCAGGCTTTCCAGTTAGGCTGGGCAGACTGGCTAACGAGCTCCAGGGCCCACCTGGGCATGCTCAACAGTGCTGGTTTTTTACATCACCATCACCATCAACCTTGTGCCCCGTGCTTTCATGAAGCAGGTGCTTCACAGACCAAGCCTTCTCCCCAACCAGTAAGTCTAATTTCTGAAAAAGAAATTAAGCACTTTGCAGAGATTGAGGGGAATTTACTTATACTCATTTTTTTTTTGAGATTTACAAAGTTAAATGATAATAACTGTTTCTAAATTTACTTAAAGGCATACATGGGAAGGTGGAAGACTTATGTATATTATTTCTAAAAATTTGGGTTTTACTAGTCTAAGTAAAACACTTGGAATTTATTGCCTGTAATTTAGCAAAATTGCCCAGTTAAGGCAGCTGCAAATAATTAAAACCCTTCACACTCCCCTTACCTTTTCTAGATAAATGGCTTAAATTGCTATTTTATTTAGTTTTTGTTTACCAACTCCCCTTAGATCCCCAAACATCTAATATTTTGTTAGATTGTAGTGGGCTTTCTAACTAGTTTTGAAGGATGGTGTCCATGACTCTTTTTATATTTTATTCTTTATAAATATGAGGTTTGAGCCACAAGTTTAGTAAAGAAAATGGCTTTTTGTTTTCTTATTTTTTAAAGGACATATTTTATTTTAATGCTGATATTTTTTGGATTTATAAATGCTCTGTGGATCATAATGAATCCTGAATTAACAAAAGAGTTTTCCACACAAAATTAGTTTGATTTAGGGTTGAACAGGAAATAATAATGATAAGAAAACACAGCACAGATCCTGTAACTCTGTGATAAGCTTGCCTTCTGAGCCAGAGCTGTTGTCATGGCTAGGCCTCCCTCTCACTCCTGTGCTCTCCCTAATTGGAGGGAAACGGAGAACACAGTGGGCCCTCAGCTTCCAGTCAGGGCTGGTGTTGGGCTGAGGGAAGCACAGCGGGAGACGCCCCTACTGAGTTTATCCTTTAGCCTGGTGGTTTTTGGTTAACAGTGTGTGTTGTATACTGCCAGCAGACTTCCCGCAGGGTCGTGTGCTTTATTTCGTCTTATCACATGCTGGATAAATAGTAGTTTACAAAGAATAAATTCTGGGTTTTTGGGTTTCGTTTTAGAGAACACATTTTTTATGGGAAAAATTTGGATTTTTTTAAAGTTTAAGAATTGTATACAGAGAGCTAATGGATGTCCAGTGTCACTTTTCAAAGACTGAGTCCGTGTGTCACCTGTACTAAAGCCACAAATAGAGTTAGTGCAGCATGCCTGTCGTCGTAGAGCGTAGGAGGCTGATGCAGGAGGATCAAGAGTTGGAGGCCATCCTAGGCTACATAGTAGAAGACTTCGTAAGTTCAGAAAGTTGAAATAGTACAGAGAGGTGCAAAATCTAAGTGATCTCATCCCAGGGAACCAGCATAAGAGTTTTGACTCTTTCCTTGAGTCAGGGAAAAACATGCTCCTGGGTATTTTTTTTTTCCAAGAAATTTTGTTTTTAGTGATCACACAGACCTTTGTACTTTGCTTCTGAAATTTAATGTATCTTTAAATTAATGACTTCCACTGTCGGTGCATGGAGACCTATCTCTGTAGACACTCCAGGGAGCCGATGTGGCTCTTGATGGATCTACATTTGGTGATGATACAAGTGCAAGTGTATTCTCATGTTAGTTAGTGTGGCTTCTCCCACCCACCTCCACAAGCCTGCCGATTAGTCTGTCTGCATACATCCTTGCTCAGACCGGCAGACAACTGAATATTTGTCTGTGTTAGTCTGATGGGAAGTGGCCTCTCCTAGTTCAGTTTGGGTATCTTCACTTAGTAGTGGGAACCAGAGTCTTTTTATAATCTTGCTGGGCTCCATCTGTGCTTCAGTATTTCCCTAGTAGTTGTATGGCATCTTTATGACGAGTGGATGAGCCCTCTGTGTGTCTTGTGTCTTTTCCAATCTGCTGCTGCCTCTTCTCTTTGGCTTATGGAACCTTTCTTAGTTTCTGTCATCTGTGGAGTTTTTGAGAAAGCTGACCTATTCAGCAATGGAACTTTAGGCTGTATCTCTTGATTTACTCATAACTTACAATGAAAATTTACCTTGGAGTAAAAGGTATTTGCTGATAAAATGTTAATGCCCTGAATACAGTGTCATTCAAGGCTGTGTCTCTTCTTTATACAGATCAAGCGTCCGAAGTTCAGGTGACGATGATGCTGACTGAGAGCTGTAAGCTTCGCGGTCTCCATCACAGGTGAGAGCAAAGGCCGCATCAAGCACAGCTCATTTCCTTTTATTATTTAAGAACGTTATGTCTGGTTCTGAATTGAAAACTTTTGCAATAGCTTGGTTTCTGTTTTTTGCCTTTTTTTTTCTGACTATGATGGTAAATGCATGTTCATTGAATACTATTTGAAGATAGTGAAGCACAAAGAAGATAGAGGACAGTATGTAAGCCACATAAATAATAAATGGATACAACTAAGCTTTATGAAATAGTCTGTGCGTATTTATGCACTTGTCTCCCCTTAAAAATATGACAAAGTGATGCATACATCGCAAAGTGATTGCAATGAAAATTTCAAATGTATAGAACACCATTGACAAAAATACTTCAAGTACTCTTAGATATAGTGAGATTGATGGTCTGTCATGTTTGCTGAGTGTGCACTCAAATGTGTGTGTGTGTGTGTGTGTATGTGACCGTGTCTGTGTGTGTCTGTGGTAGAGGTCTGTATATCTAGAAACAGCATCTATATATTTGTCTGTAGAGATATTTTATAATATGTTCGATATCTCAACATGTTAGTGTGTTTCCAGTATACATTTAAAAAGGATAGCGTTATCTTTAATAAAATTAATGCATTTCTTATTCTAATAAAAAACTTTCTATGTTTTCATGTTGGGAGCTATAAATCCCTGTCTCATTTTAAAAGGCTACTTAGTGGTTTACGGAATGGCTATACCACATTTTATTTAATTCATCTCTTACATCTCTTAGAATTGTAGTATGATTTCACAAAAGGTACTTGTAGGGAAAATTCTAGATCAAGAATCACCAGGGACAACAGCATCAACATCATGGCAAAGTTGTTGTTGTTTTTTGTTTTTGTTTTTGAGGCAGGGTTTCTATACAGCCCTGACTATCCTGGGACTTGCTTTGTAGACCAAGATGTCATCAAACTTACCAAGACCCGATTGCCTCTGTTTCCTAAGTGCTGGGATTAAAGACATGTGCCACCAAGCTCAGTTGGCAAAGCACCGATTAGAGATCTCAGAGGTGGTGTACATCTGTTACCCAGAGTTCTTGGGGTACAGACAAGTACATATCTGGAGCTCACTGACCAATGTGCTCCAGGTCAGTGAGAGACCGTGATGGAGAGCAGCTAAGGAAGGCGCGTGATGTTGACCACTGACCTCTACGCACATGCTCAAACATGTACATACATGTACATGCACCACACACAAATACTATGTAGACTCACCTTAGTTTGTATGACTAATGGGAATTTCATATGTCCAGAAAATGAACCATGACTACATGTCGAAAGGGTCTATGGACTTCTGGGAACAGGAAGTGATGTATGCAGAGGGCACCATGCTTCCATTTCAGTGGACTTGAGCAGTTACTTGAGCTCTGATAAAAAATAAAAAACACAGAACTTTCTTCTTTTCATTTTGTTTTTACTTTGGCTTTTGAGGGCCTAAGAAGATGACAGCCACATAAAAATAAGACTGATAATGAAAATGAGACAGACTTTTGGCATTTTGTTAGCAGAAAGACAACTGTTTGGGCTGGGATTAAACACATCATAATTCTGGGCTGGAGAGATGGCTTAGAGGTTAAGAGCATTGAGTGTTCTTCAAGAGGTCCTAAGTTCAATTCCCAGCAACCACATGGCGGCTCACAACCATCTGTAATGAGATCTGATGCTTTCTTCTGGTGTGCAAGTATACACGCAGACAGAACACTATATACATAATAAATAAGTAAATCTTTTTTTTTTTAAGCAATATAATTCTTAACTTCTGGTTAGTTGAAACAAAGGCAACCTTAAAGTCCAGTAAATCTTAGTAACAGATGGAAAAGAAAAGAAATACTTTGTTTAGGGTAGGAATTTTAAAAAGTTTTTTAGTTTTAGATTCTAAGACATGTCACATTTGGTTTATTATATAATGTAGATATTGACTGATATAAAAGTAAATACTCATTTCTAAATATTTCACTGAAGAAAAAAAATAGGCTTTGGAAAAAGTTGAATTCAGTATTGTGGAATAGTAGAGTGTGCCACAAAAGAGTTGAGCTCCACGACTCAAGAATGTTGCCTTTCATTGGCCAGGTTCAGCCCCAGGAGCTGAAGTCCTCACTTGTGGGGAACGGATGGACAGTCCCCTCTCCCCTTTTAGGTTATATGTGCTTTAAAAAAAAACAGTTTTATTTGTCAAACAAAATAAAACAATAGCACAAACAAACAAACAGCCCCCATATGTGTTTTCGTTTCCTTGGCACATTTGGACTGTCCTTTCTGACAGTGCTGAGTGAGTCTTGATTGACACGCGGAGGGTGCGCCAGCTGTGTTTCCCTCAAGTCTACTGTGCTAGGACTTCTCCTAGCCATTTCTCTGCCCAGTGAAATGCGCACCCACCAGCACAAAAGCATGTGGCAGGGATAAATGCAGGCTAAGGCAGGTTTTCCTTAAGAAGTTGTTTTAGATCCACTGTAGCCCTAAGCATTCTTTGGTTAAGCAACCCAGGCAGGCATCTGCAGCATTCCTTCATGGAGCTGTGGACTGCTTGGTGTATCAGGATCCCACCATGATGGATTAGCAGTCCCTTGACACCCCACAGAATGGAGCTGAGTGATACTGACGTGAAACATTTGATGCTGGATGAGAGGGAGACTTGTAGGCAGGTTATAGCTTGGTCAGAGCTCGTTGTTGTCTTGTGTGGCTCCAGTTGTAGGGATAAAATTGTTTGTGTGCAGCATTCCCTGTAGCACTTCATCTCACCACACTTCTTTCTTCTTAGACAGGCATTCATGGCTCTCTTTCTCTCTTTGATTTAAAGATTCATTAACTTCCCGTTTTGGTGCTAGATGCAGAATAAAAATGAAACAGTAATCTTAGATCAGTACTATAGAATTTTTTGTGCAGACTCAGTGTGCTTGGCAAGAACTGTTACCTGTTTGCAGATTTCACTGTTTGAACTGGTTGTGGTGCGTAATTCAGAAAGTTTGCTTTCTGTTTTAACGTTCTGTGATGAAGGGTAGAGAGGCACTGATGCATTTTAAAGCGTCTTGAAATTTTTGGTTTTTATTTTTCCACTGGAACTTGTAAGCATAAGTTTTTATCATGAGTAAATACTCATAAATAAAAAATAATCTGCTTCCCTTACTTCATGTCAGAGAATCCCTAAGCCATTTCTTGTGGCTTGCAGTCCCCATTGGCCAGAATGCCTGATGATGACACTTGTTAGTGCTGAATGACACACAGCTTTAAGGCTGCAAGTGGAGAAGTTGTTCCCAGCCCTACAACCCCCCCCCCTCTACCTTCTTTCCACACACACCTCCTTTACACCCATCTATCCCATTCTGAGATGTCTCAGACCTTTCTCTTTGTCCTGTTTTCCTTTGTAAAATGAACAGAGTAAAGGGCTGTCATTTGTTCTTGAAAACATTTCCATAAAGCTTATTACTGCTTCCAGAGTTGTTTTCTTTTCCCCCTTTTACTTTATGTACATCAGTGTCTTGCATATATGTATATCTGTGTACCACGTGTATGCAGTACCTGAGGGGGACAGAGGAGGGCATCAGATCTCCTGAGACTGGAGGTAAAGACAGTTGTGAGCCACCATATGGGTGCTAGGAATGAAACCTGGTCCCTCTACAAGAGCAGCCAGTGTTCTTAACCACTGATACCAGAGGATTTTTAATCCTGGGGTTATAGAATAAAAGTTTTGATTTCATTTATTGTTTTTGTTGTATCTGGACAAAATGCCATTAATTCTGCTGAACTATTTCAGTCATGAGGGACAGAGCAGAGATAATCCTTTAGGGCTAAAGAAGGGGCCAGTTCACCTGCCCATTCTGAAGTCAGGGTTTGCCTTGGCTGATTCAAAGTGAGTTGTGAGTTGTTGTGTGCATGGAGGTTGCTAGGGGTGCATGTGGCTCTGCAGTTCTTCCTGGGTTCTCCTTTTTTAACTGGGAGGATATGTCCAGCAGCCCAGGGGAGATTATGGAGTGTGGGATTGTACCAGACCAGCTCAAGAATCACTGTAATATTTTAATAGTTGAAAAGGGGAAACTCACACTACAAGAATGGGAGGTCCGGCAGGCACTGCACGGAGAGAGCGAGCACCTGCGCGCACCTACATCCCCAGGTTTTTCTACCTGGGCTCTAGGTGGCCACACCCTAACTAAATGTGATTGGTTGAAACTGTCAGTTGGTAGGTAGTTCCCCTATCATTTCCCCCTTTTGTCTAAACAAGATCGACTCCAACCCAATACAACTGTATACAATAGGAATAGATACCAAATATAAAATTATAAACAGTAAACAGTATTAAGCAAGGAACACATGACAAAAGTTTTATTAAATATTTTATTTTAAGGAGTCTAAATAATGTATTGAAATTAAGGTTGGCTAGATCATGAGGAAGGTAACTATAATTATCTAATCTTTAACTCCATCAAAGATCTGAGAAAGGAAGTAATATTACTTGAGTAAACAGGAAGTGCAATCGAGAAACTTTCAAATTGTGCAACAAATGACGGAGACAACTGACTACCTGGGCAATCACCCAAAGTCTCATTTGTAATGTTGAAGCAACCATCTTTAGCTAAGGCCTGACGTAACTGACACACCATTTTTAAAGGCAAGAAACTTTTTAAAACTATCTTACCCTGTCTTGGCAGGATATGACAGTCCTATTTTATCCATTTATGGATACTCAGTATCTCTTGTCAGTGGTTGAGGTATGGGCATTTCTTTGCCCAAAGGCCAGCTCTGCCAAGAAGAAAGGCTCCAGGTGGAGTGTCTTTGGTGTTTAACATTCTCTCGGGAATAGATCGGTGTTGCCAAGAGTGATTGTGTCTCATTACCTCAGATCTCTAAATTAGATTAAAGGCCGTTTTTTTACAGCTCTTTGAAGAGGTTGAAGACTATCTATACTGAATATAATCTCTATGTATCTAAAGAACCTGATTAGCCCAAATATAAATATGACAAACATAGATGACTATTGCATGTCCTATATGTCTGACGGACACTGTGCCAAGAGAGCGCACACCTACATCCCCAGGTTTTTCTACCTGGGCTTTATGTGGCCACACCCTAACTAAATGTGTTTGGTTGAAACTATCAGTTGATAGTTTCCTCATCATGGAATCTCATGATATCTGCATTTTCTTGTCCTTATACTTGATCTTTGTCCGTAGATTCCCTAACCTTTCTCCCTGGCCTGGCTACCAGTAGTACAAGCAGAAACCCTGGAGGGTTCAGTGCCTCTTAGAGACCGATGCCTCTTACAGTTCTGCTCAATGGGGACGTTTTTAGGACATAAAGAAAGGCAAAGCAGAAACTAACTGTAGTCTTACAAGTCAGAGAGACAACTCCTTGATATATTTTTGCAGTTTTTCCTCTGTCTTTGTGACTGTCCTGTGAATGTGTGGTTTGTGTCTCATGTTCTTTAAGCTCCTCTCATGTTTTCTTAAGTTTCTTTGTGATCATTCAGCCGTAATGTGTTATTTCATTATTCTTGGGCATTTACGTTGTTTGTGACTTTTCACTATTGATCTTGGTATTGTAGCTTTTTATGTTTGATATTTAATTCTTTATGAAACCATCCTTAGAAACAGAATTTACTAAGAAATAGGATTGCTTTTAGATCATTGTTATATGTGTTTCAAATAGGTATTAAATATTGTAATAGCACAGGACATGATACATTGAATATAGAAGTTGAGTCTGTGATTACTTCTGGCTTAGTAAAGTGGAGATGATTACTTCAATAGTTACAATCTTAGGGAAAAATTATTTTCATACATCAGCTTGGGTGTCATTCCACAGAGAATGGTGTGTGCATGTGTGTGTGACAAAAGGTAAAGTAGATAAGATTGTTCACCAAACACTTGGTGTATTTTGCACATAAAACTGTTTGCAGTTGGTGAAATCCACGTGACAAGTTTGAAAACTAAGGCCAAGGTGCACAGACACTCTCTCCTCCCCCATCTTTCATCCTGATAGTGAATTTTACTTTTAAAAATTGAACTCCAAATTCTATGTGACCATAAGCATTTTACTTTTGTGACAGTAAGAATTAGTTAAAAGACTTTTTGGATGACCATATTTTTATCCAGTTTAGTGTAGGCCTTTTTATTTTTAAGTGTGATGATGAAACTAGTGGGATTGCATCATGATGTACTCGGGCCAAACTGCTTTCAGCTGTCTGTGATTATCCTTTGGAGTGGAGACTTAGCGTGCCTAGAGTATCTTCAGAAAATCTAGTATAAAGGGATCCATTCCGTGTTAGTAATTTTTATCCTGCAAAGAAGGCTCATATATACAGAGACTGTTAACACATGGTTCAAAAAGGAGAACATTTGTAAATAAAAGTTGTAATGATTATCTTTTTAGATGTTTTTGGGATTTTGTTTTGCTTTAGATTATCTTTATTTTAATTTAAGATAAACTCATAAAGTTTTAGATTTCATTTGTATTTTCCCAATTTCTTATTATTTTACAGAAACCTTCTTCCTATTACTCATGTGTGCATAGAAGAAGGGGAAAAGCCCATGGTGATACTGCCATACATGAACTGGGGGAATCTTAAGTTGTTTCTACGGCAGTGCAAATTAGTAGAAGCCAATAATCCACAGGTGAGAAAATTTCCCCAGATACCAGTGGTTTCTGATGTCTTTTGAAGTAGATGTTAATAACCACACGTGTGTTTTAAAGACTTGCAAAGAACCTCAGAGTGAATCAGGCATTATTTATAATCTGTTTATTTAGAGGAAAATAAGGATGACTCATGGTTCCCCTGGAGCACACTTGGCCGCTGCTGTTTTGCTTTGTTCACTGTGTGTTCATTCATAGTCACCTCCGATGCCTGGTGACAGCATCTCAGTCCTTTGCAGGATAGCTTCTGAAGACGTGTGTCCAGGTTTCCTTTCCAGGAAAGTCTGTGTGACCGTGGTGTGCCAACAGTGGCGATGGTGAGAGGCCTGGATTGTGGGAGGCCCTTGTGCTGTAAGGTGCCATCAGTTCAGAGTTTCTGTCTTGTCACTACCCATGTCCTCTGCTGGGACATCTGAGCAGAGTCCAGACATGTTATGGTAGTGGTAAGAGAGTCTGCTTGGTGTTTTGCCCTCGACTATATTTTGTGGTTTTATTAAGTTGGTTTTAAGATTTATAATAGCATACCTATTGTAGTTAATAAGAAAAATGGACTCAGATCTGCCCTGAGTATTTGGCTTAATGTATATGATATGTTGTTTAAGCTAAAAGGATAAAGCTGTGGTTTGAACCATGTAGTCGGAGGCTCTGGCCCATGAGTATCACCAGGGGGAGAACTTCCTTCCCCAGCCTGCAGTGCTGCTGTGCATCTAGGAACATGTCAGCAGAGAGAGCTATGGACTTGTTTAGTGGAAGGACCCTAGGGGTAATCCGATAAAACCTACTACTACAAAGGAAAGAGCAGATCATTGCTGCACACCCTTTTGACATGCTGCTTCAGAGATTCCATGGTCATTGAGCAGGAGTCGCTGAGAAGCTGTTCCGTAATGCTGATTTTAGAGAGATGCAGCAGATGAGATACATCACGTAGATGAAGTCATACAGATGGAAAATCCTGTTACAGAACGGGCTGTTGTAATAGATGAGCAGTACACAGTACTCCTAGAGCACATCTTGCTTGAGAAATAGGTTAAAAAAACTCAATGTAAGAAAGTGTTTTAGGGCTGGACTATGGACTCATGTAGTCAGGTCCCAAACCACCTTTGTACTGTCAGCAAATGTCATTTTTTTTTTTCTGTTATGACAGGCAATTTCCCAGCAAGACTTGGTACATATGGCTATTCAGATTGCCTGTGGAATGAGCTACCTGGCAAGAAGGGAAGTAATCCATAAAGACCTGGCTGCTAGGAATTGTGTGTAGGTGTCAAGGGCTTGCTACTTTCACTAGCTGGGTAGTGCTTCCTGGATTTGGGGTTCTCTTGGGAGTCGTTGTGGGACTCAGACTGTTTATGGGTAATGTTGGTCTTCTTGACACCCTGATGCCTGCCATGTTTGTGTTTTTACTTCTCAGCATCGACGACACTCTTCAAGTGAAAATCACAGACAATGCCCTTTCCAGAGACTTATTTCCCATGGACTACCACTGTCTAGGGGACAATGAGAACAGACCAGTGAGATGGATGGCTCTGGAAAGCCTGGTTAACAATGAGTTCTCCAGCGCTAGTGACGTGGTAAGTACGGAGCCCAGGTGTCAACAGCATGCAGTCATTTTGTCATTTTAAAACCTTGCTGCTAGTCCTTGGTGTTTTCACTAGAGAGCATGTATAGTTAGCTCCCCTTTGACCCTCTTACAACACAGAAACTGTCCTAGATCCTGGGCTGGTGCTGTGCTCTCCCTGTGGCGAGCACTGGTGTCCAGTGTTAGAGTAGGACACTGAGGTTCAGAGAGTTGATCAGCTTATTATCTCCCTCATACAAGTCTCAGATGACCATGTAGTTACTAAAGTACAGAAGACATTGCTTTCTGAAAATGGTCTCTTCCCAGCTGAACAGTCTCTCATCTGTCATCCTGACTATGTTTCAGTTACTCCGTCTCCTCATCCCGATCACACATTAGGGCCCTTCTGTTTAGTGAGGCAGTTTCGGGAGCCACATGTACTCCTCTGTTGTAATAGTTTTCTCAGTGCTTGACTTTTTATTCCAGTTTAGATCATAACTGGGCCAGGCATGGTGGCACATGCCTGTAATCCCAGCCCTTGAAAGGCAAAGATGGGGGGATCATGAGTTCCAGGCCCACCTAGGGTACATAGTGACTTATCTCAAGAAACATGAATAACTGAGCCATGTGTGGTGGTGCACACCTTTAATTCCAGCATTCAGCAGGCAGGCAGATCTCTGAGTTCGAGGTCAGTCTGGTCTACAAAGCAAGTTCCAGGGCAGCCAGGGCTACACAGAGAACAAAAAGAAAAAAAGAATGAAAAACTAATGTGTTTTTCTATCTCTTGTCTGTTATATATTGTAGCTGTATATTTAGAAATTTGGTAAGAACTTTTGCTTTAAGGTTCCCTAAATCATCATTCTATAATACTACAGTTCTTGTAAAATTAATTGGGATTTGATCTAATATTTCAGCATTGAAGAACTGGGCTTACTGTGTTTTGTATACCAGTTTATTTTATTTATTATTCAGAGTTAACTTTTTAATTTCAGTTTGTATGCGTTACAAATTTCTGTTTTAATAGTGTATTACTGACACCAGTTTTACTGGTTTATTATTTACATTGATTAGTGTAAACTCTGTCATATACTCGGTGTATTAATTTTTGCTGGCTGCTATAACAAATTACTACAACCTCAGTAATTTAAAACAGTAGATTTATTCTCTCACAGAAGGTTCTAGAGACTGAATTAAAGATGTTGGCAGGGCCGTGATCTTTCCAGAGACATCTGGTGGCAGTGCTTGGTTTGTGGCTCCATCTGTGTTGCACACTCATAGATTGGATGCTTTTCAGAACTCTGCTCCTCTCTGACAAGACTTTGGTAACTGCATTCATCCCTGCACAGTCCAGAATAAGCTCCTTTCAAGGTCTCGGTTACATTGTTTTCCAGAAAGGGATTTAGGGTTAGGAATGGATCTTTAGGGCTACCATTCAGTTCACTGTTCTCCGTAATTGAAATGATCTGACTTCCTTATTGGAAATAACTACAGTTTACAGTCTTTGGAAACAGAATGATTTGATAGAGAAAAACCTCTCATTAATTATGATTTAATTGATTTCTTTCTCCTCTTTCGTAAACTGGATGCTGTTTGGTGTATTTCTCCTTTTGTGTACTATGTCTTGATTTGTTCACTTGATGTGAATGAATAATTTCCTGAGTTCTTAAAAACTTATCCTGTTAATTAAGGTTTTCAAAATATATATATAGTCAAAGTCATCTTTTACTTATTTTTAAATTAACTATTCTCGAAAAACAAAAACAAAAAACCCAACCCTGACATATGAAATGTGTAGAATAAGCACACATGATTATAAGAATGGGTGTTACCTGACTCCAGGAGGAACTGCTGGGCTGACTCCAAAAGGAACCTGCTTTATGTTGCTTAGAGAAGCCCGAGGCATGCTGGAAAGAAGGTGGCAGGTGGGGGGGGGGAGATAAATGCAGAGTGTTAGGGATTCAGCTTATAAGACAGCAGAGAACCAGGTCTGGGCTCTCTCCAGAGCTTCTTGTCACGAAACAGCTTCTTTTTGTAGCATTAATGTTCACAAGCTAGAGTTTCAGTGAAATCAGTAGCATCTATGCCTTGACTGAAATCGTAGTTTTGGAAACTCAAAAGCTATTTGATGGGCAGGAAAAAGGAGTCACTTCCTAGATGATAATTTGTAAGTATTTTGTGTTATTTTAAAGTAGACTTCAGGAGACTGGGAAATAGTATTTTTTTTTCTTGGTAAAAGGAATATTGATAGATAATATTTCAGAAGAGGGAGGAAAGATTGTAGGAACCTGAGGTGTCAAGGACACCAAGAGAACAACATGGCCACAGAATCAACTAAGCAGGGGCTATAGGGGCTCTCAGAAACTGAAGTGGCAAGCACAGCCCCTGCATGGGTCTGAGCTAGGTCCTCCGCATATACCTTATGGTTGTGTGGCCTGGTGTTCTTGTGGGACTAGCAGTGGGAGAGGGGGAGGGGTGTCTCTGACTCTTTAGTCTGGGCTTGGGACCCTTTTCCTCATGATACACCGCATCCAGCTATGATATGAGGGTTTGTGCTTAGTCTTACTGTATTTTACTAGACCATGTTTGGTGGATATCCCTGGGAGACCTGCTCCCCCCTCCCTTTTTTTTTTTAAAGGGACACAGAAGAGGAATTGATCTGGGGGAGAGAGGGGTATGGAGGCAGGGACTGGGAGGAGTGGAGGGAAGGGAAACTATAGTCAGGTCATATTGAATAAGAGAAGAATAAACGTTAAAGAATGTTTCAGAAGAGCATGTAAGATGTCTAGAACCCTAATGTGAATTGCTTGATGTCCAATAGTGCTTCAATATGAATTGCTTAGTTGATTTGTTTCTGTGTAGTTATTCCATAATATAATTAATTAACAAATTATTTTATGTTTGTGGGTATTTTGCTTGCATGTATGTCTGGATTCCCTGGAACTGGACTTAGGACAGTTGTGAGCTGCCATGTGGGTGCTGGGAATTGAACCTGGGTCCTCTAGAAGAGCATCTCAGCTGCTGAGCCATCTCTCCAGCCTCAGCAAAGCTATTTTAAAATCACACTTATGATCACATACTTTCTAGGCTCCTAGAGCAAAAATAAACTGGGTGAGTGGGATCCGAGTTAATGTCATGCATGTCTAGACGGTACAGATAAGCAGAAGGAATGGGACTCTAGTTAATATAATGCAAGTCTAAACAGTACAGATGGTGCCTCCTCAGGCACTGTTCAGACACGTATTTTATTAACTAGAATATAATGTATGAGTGCTGAATTACTGAATGAAACTGCTCTGGGCTACTGGAACATCATACTTTAAAAAATTCTCAAAATCATGCTTATAATCACTTATCTTTGCAGTCATGATATTTTATAAAACTTGTGAGCATTCATATTTGTGTAAGAACCTGTCAGATTCAGATTGCCGTTATACCAAATACTTCGTTTCTATTTTTGACAGCCTTATTTTTTATTATTTAATTTTTTTCACTTTTTATTGAAAACAGGTTTTTCATATACAGTATATCTGAGTGAGGTTTCTCTTCTCCCTTTGTCTCCCAGATCCTCCCCACTCATCCAACTCCATGCCTTCTTCCTCTCTCTTAGAAAACAAACAGCAATTATAAACAGACAGACTGAATTGTAGCAAATAAAACAAAGAAAAAGCATAAGAACACATGCAGAGACATACACACAAAACAAAACTCATAAAAATACAAAATCAGAAATCATAATATACAAATTATACAAAAGACCAGTAAGATTTTATTTAAAAAGCCTAATCAAAGCAACATGAGACCAAAAATATCAGTGAGTTTGTTTTGTGTTGGCCTTCTGCTGCTGAACATGGGGCCTGCCCTTAACTGTTTACATACCCAATGAGATCCATTGGAGAGAACGGAATTTTTTCCTTTGTAAACAGTTATCAATTAGAAATACCTTCTGGGTTAGGGATATCCACTTTCGCCTCTCAGTCCTGGAACTCCATCTGTCTTGGACCTGTGCATCTACCACATTCTTATGAGTTCATATGTATGTCAGCCCTTGTGTCTGGAAGACACTGTTTCCTTGCTGTTGTCTGTCCTCTCTGATCGCATAATCTTTGTGCTGCCTTTTCTGTATAGTTCCTAGAGCTCTGAGGGGAGATAGGACTAAGAATTCCAGAGCCTCGCTGTCTACACTTTGTCCAGCTGTGGTTCTCTGTAGTAATCCCATCTATTGCTGGAGAAAGCTGCACTTGTGATGGCTAGGCAAGACACTGATCTATGGGACAGGTAGAATGTCATTAGGGGTCATTTTATCACTATATTCCTTTAGCATAACAATAGTATTTGGTTTTCTTGTAGGATTGTGGTCAATCTAATCTCAGGTTCTTGATCGCCCACCCAGGGTCAGGCGTGGGTTCTATGCCATGGAGTGGGTCTTAAATCCAGTCAGAGAGTGGTCGGCTACTCCACAGCGTTTGTGCCTCTCTGGCACCAGCGCATCAAGCAGGCAGTAACCATCGTAGATTTCAGGGTTTGTGAATGGGTTGGTGGTTTTACCTTTCTTTTCGGTAGTGTGCCGTAAACACTAGTCAGTAGGAGTGAAGACTCTTAGGCACCAGTGTTCAGAGAGTTAATGTAGGTGTTGTCTTCAGTGATAAGACCTTATCAATTTGTGAAGAGCAACCAGTAACCCTGGCAATAGCATGAGTTGATTGGGGATGTAACTCTTTCCTGTTACTGGAAGTTTCACTTGATGGTGAAAGATGTCTAGTTGGGGCATTCTCTCTTCCATCATTTGGTGACTCCATTTAGATTTCTTGTGTGTGTGTGTGTGTGTGTGTGTGTGTGTGTGTGTTTTAATGGTTTAATTTAATTTTTATTAATTTTAGTTTAATATTTTTAATTTATTTTTTTAAATGGTTTTTCGAGATAGTGCTTCTTTCTCTGTAGCTTTGGAGGCTGTCCTGGAACTCGCTTTGTAGAGCAGGCAGGCCTCGAACTCAGAGATCTGCCTGTCTTTCATAT